CTTCCCCTCTCTTTAAGAATAACTAAATAAAATCTTAAATGTATTTGATTTAGCAAAAGGAACTGTAGCTCGGAAGACATAGATGATTCTGGTATTGAGTTGGCCAAAAAGTCCGTTTAGTTTTTCCATAAAATAAAAGACACATTTTTCACTTTTACCAATAACTTGATTGAGTTGGATGTTTTGAGTATGTCACTTGTCTCCTGCTATTGACTTCTAGTGGGCAGAGGCCAGGGCTGCTGCTAAACATCTTCCAATGCATAAGGCAGCCCCACAGCAAAGAGCTATTTGACCAAAATGTCAATGGTACAAGAAGCTTCACAAACCAATTTGACATGTTGGATCAGTCACAGCACCTTCTCCATACACTGCATAAATCTTTTTTTGCATTTCAGTTGTGTTTTTACCTTTCTTGAAATAATAAAGCATAATATGCCAAATATGTTGCATATTTCCTTCCACCTTCAATATTAAAATGGCTGCACAAAAATTCACCAATTTTGATAAGTTTTTAAAATGCATGCTGCTATGACAGCTGTCACAATACAATCTAACCAAATTGTTTTGAATGAAGTTAAAGATAACGAAGCATTGCTAAAGTCATTGTAGGGAAAAAACTAAACAAACTTTTTGGCCAACCCACTAGAAACCTTAATTGTATTCCATCAAGACAAAGGAGAGGATGCTTTTTATAGCTAATGTTCCCATCCAAGTTCCCAATTAGGTCTGTTTTGTGTAAATGAGGCATGTAAATTATGCAGTTCTGATTGGTGGGGCAGTCTTAGTGCCTCGGTCAAAAGCAGGAAACTAGGAACTCCCTTGTAAGAGTTGACTCTGATGGATGGCGTAACAAGGGAAGCCAGAGGTCAGCGTGAGGTCTTCCCGGTACCCAGAGTACGTGAGGATCCCTTGTTAGCACATGGCCCTAGGATCTCATGATTCATAAAATGGGGTCCCTCAGTTGACCATGGGGAGTCCATCTCAGCAGATAAATTCCCTCTTGGGGTTCATATTGAATGAATCTTCCTTCCGAAGTCCGCAGTCTTTACTTAGTCTCTGTTTCCCCCCCCACCTTCCAACACCTCCATCCACAGCCTGACGCCCAGCTTGCCGTTCGGTTCCAGGGCTGGGCAGATGCCCGGGTCTTTGACTCCGGGAACCTGTGACAGGCCAGCACCCTCTAGGCTCCCTACACGTTTTGGAAGGGAGATGGGGACTTCTTCCCATTTCATTCGTTCATTCATTCATTCATTCATTCCCATTCATTATTGAGATTCATACAGAATTCACATAGCATACCATTAATTCACCCATGGGAAGGGTACAGCGCAGCGGTCTTAGCATGCTCATACCTATGTGCCGTCATCACCAGGGTGGGTTTGAGAACATTTAGAACCTCAGAAAGATACGCTGTACCCTCTGGCCATCACCCCCTAGCTTTCCACCCCCTCTGTCTGCCCCGAGCAACCTACGATCTACTTTTTGTCTCCTATGGACTTGCCTGTTCTGGACATTTCATAGATATATAGTCATTAATATATATATATATATATATATATATATATATATATATATATATATATAAATGAATAATGCTGTCATACATTGTGTAAACATACTTTCATTCCTCCTGGGCACATGCCCCAGAGAAGAATCGCCAGGTCAGGGGGACACTGTGTGTTTAACCATCTGGGGAGCTGTGCACGGGTTTCCAACACGGCCCCCCTTTTTATTTTGCCCAGATGCGGGAATCTAGCCATTTTTCCAGTGCAGACACCTACCTTACTTTGTATAAATTTTTTGTATGAATAATTTCCCTAAGGCTTAGTTATCTTATTATATATGTCTTTGTTTCTGTTATTACATTTTTATGTGAAAGGTTTCAGGTGGAACGTGACTGAGCAGGGGTCTGGGCAGTGAGCGGTGTGCACCTTCAGGGCACAAGACGCTTCACCGGGAAGTGAGAACAAACGCCATTTCCACGTTGCCTAAGAACGCCTTAGAACAGCTGTGCATGGGGAGGCTTATAAACAAGTAGTTCTGTATCAGAGATTATAAACAGGAAGGCACAACCATAAAATTCTAAGGAAAACTGTTCTGACAACATAAAATCAAAAATAGCTGTGAGCTTCTTAATCCTGTTTTGTGACAGGTCTGATGGGGAGCATTTTTAAAATTACTTTGCTGACAAAAAGTGGAGCATTTCCTGCTAATTGTCGCCCAAATGCAACACGTAAATACCAGTGCAAAGGGCTTTGGATCAGGTGCCAGACTCCGTTGCTCTGCTGCTGCTGCTGCTGCTGCTGCTGGACACTGCGACTCTGGGCAAGTTCCCTGACTGTGCCCATGTCGGCTCTCAAATAGGCCCCATAAAACCTGAAATAGTGCAAGTTGTCATTGCGCAGAGAGAGAGAGTGGGAAGCGTGACCCAGTCAGTGACCACAGGAAGTTGTCATTTGTGTGTCTTGGGCAACCGAGCAGCATTTTAAGACAAAATACCCAGCCTTCCGTCATCGTTGCCTTCACTGGGTCTTTCTTTCTTACCCCACCCCCATTTCTCCTGGCCCTGCTCTGCCCTTCCTGTGCGCTTCTGAGAGCAGGCCTCAAAGTTAAGGGTCACCGCCCCGGGGTGCGCTGGTCGTGGAGGAGTCCAGGTGACGCCACCCTCGCAGTGTTTCCTTCCTGGGCCCTTTGCATGAGGACACGGTGTTCAGCACACGCTGTGGCGAAGGTGCAGGCGTGTAGAACTGCAGCTCACGGGGAGTCCTGGCAGCTCTGATGGGAGCTGCGGCATCACACAGTCAAGCATCTTCACCGTTTCTGTTGGACACGCAATAGTCTGAGTGTCTCAGCATCTTCGGGGATGTGAGCCTTTGTTTAAAGTCAGCACGTGAAGGGAAGGGGGACAAAGAGAGGCGAAGAGGTTCTGGGGAGCCGTGTCCACCCAACGGCACACACGCCGTGGTTAAAGACCCGTTCCCTCTCTGGTCGCTGGCGCTGGTTTATGCTAGGCAGGCTCGGGACAACACCATCAAGTTCACAGGAATGAGATTTACCCTTCACCCTCAACTGTGTTTGTGGTTTCCGACCTCTGACATCCTTTTGAAGGGAATGGCTGGTGGGCATTTCAGGTCATGGTCTCCAGCTTCGTCTAAAGGGCGACACCCTTTCTTCCCTTCTTTTTGACATAACCATATGTTGATACTGTTCATTCACTTGTTCATTTTTTTTGCTCACTCAGAATATATTTATTAAGCACCTATTATGTGCCTCTCTGTTCTCGGTTCTGGGCACAGAGCAGTATGCAAAATAAAAATGTAAAAAAACTTGCTCTTTGGGATTTTACATTCTAAGGGGTGTCCATCATGGAGGTTAAATCAAGTGGGGGTACGTGCTAAGGAGTAAAGAGAACAATAAGAGTTGGCAGGGTGGGGAGGAACTGTTAGGGAGGAAAGGACAGTTGCCATTATTTTTATGGTGGCCAGGAGGCCTCCCTGGGAAGTACCATTTCAGATGAGTCTTTGGTATGATGGTCCTGCTTATGTCTTCAGTTGGTAGTTCTGGGCAGAGAAAATCCTAAATCCTGAGTCTGGCTGTTCATGGAGTGCCTTTGACATCATGAGGGATGTCAGGAGCTAAAACTGCACATCTGCCTTTGAAGTGCAGCTGCTTATGGGGTGAAAGACTTTTAGGTTGTGGGGGCTCATACCCAACTCAGTCACCCACCCTGTTTGAAAAGGTTGTATCTTTGCAGCCGGTGCTGCGACCCTGCAGTGGCCCCGGTGTTGCAGTGGCTCTCGACAGCACCCAGCACCACCGGCTGGTGGGCAAGGGCCCATCTACCAGTGGTTCGGTGGGGAGTTCTGGGCTCTCTTTTTGTCTCTGGGGCCGTTGCCCGTGCTTATCCTCAATAGGAAAATCTCGATAGAGATGATGGTAAGCATTGCAACTTGATTTCTCGACCTTGAAAATGTTTTTGGAAATGGATTTTATCTTTGTACGTAACTGTCTCTCACTCAAGGATGCCACGTCTGGCAGTGGGCAACCATGAGTAGGTTTCTGCCATTTTATAAAAACAGAGTCATGCTTTCCTTTCGTAATAACAACACCAGACATTGTTGGAGAGGGAAAGGTGTGTGATGGAGAGCAGTGGGGATGCACGGTGAGAACTGCAGTCAGGAGGAGGAGGAGGACGGAGCCCTTCTTGGCAGCAGGTCCCGCTGGTTCCCGCTGTATTCTGGGACCTTCTGCGAATGAGGATTCGGAGTCCGTGCTGTGGTTTCGGCGTGGCGAGTAGACACGTGTGTATCTCTCCAAAAGTCATGACCTTGAGTGGAACACTCCCAATCAACAAAACCCAAGGATTTCTCATAGAATTTTCACACGTACCTTTTTTTTGGTCCACATGTGTTAGGTGGGGAAAATTGCATGTCTTTAGGAAACACAGATTTACCTCTAGTCCTGTATGAGTCACTCTGCCGCAGCAATAAAGCGGTTGTCCCATCACAGAAGTTATTTCTCCAGCCAGTGACTTGACTTCCACTTTGTTGAAGTTGTCCCTTTAGTCCCTGACCTCTACTGAGCCCCCGTGTGCAACTCCGTGACCCGTCAGAGGACAGATAAGGCCGCTGCTCTCACAGTTCAGAGCCGGGGGGGGGGGGGGGGGGATGACAGTGGGAGCTAAACAAATATCAGGAAGTGAGAACTCCTGTGATGAAAATTAAGCAAGGTGCTGTGATAGGGCAGAATGGGGGAACCGCTCTGAGAGAGGCAGTTGGGAAAGACTTCTTGAGGAAGTAATTCATAAGCCAGGGCACATAACAAGATAGAGAGGAGCCAGATGTGAGATCATTTGGAGGAAAAGCATCCCGGGCCGAGGGGTGAGAACAGCACCGGTAGCGTGTGCCAGACAGAGCTTGCTGCGTGGTTGGAGCGAGGATAAGTGACAGACGTCTGCAGGTCAGGAACATGTCATGCAGTGAGGACACGGTAAGAATTTTAGATTTTCTTCCAGATTTGATGGGCAGCTTTTGGAGTTTTCAAAAATTCTCTCCAAATACCTTTTGATTATAAATAGACAAAAGTAGAAGCAAGGAGACCCACGGGGGGAATAGCCAGAGGTCCGGGTGGGAGAAGATGGTGGCTTAGATCAGGGTGGAATAGCAACAGAAATAAACTTGCTAATTGGTTAAAGATAAGGGAGTATAGGATCAGAGGTGCCTCCAACGTTTTGTAACATCGGCTATTGGAAAGTGCATTTTCTGAGATGAGGCAAACTGGGGAGGAACAGGTTTGGGGAAATCAGTGTCTGATCTGGATGTGTCTTGATGCGATGCCCACTGGACAGATGTCGAATAGGCAGGAAGACACGCGAGCCCAGAGTTCAAGGGCAGGTCAGAAACAGATCCCCGTGGCAGCCGTCTACCTACACAATGATGGTGCGGACAGCCCGGGAGCGGACTCCACACTCCCAGCCTCGCCCCTTTATTTAGGCTGAAGCCACCAGAGCTCACTGCCTCTGTCTCCAGGCCTTCCCCTCTCTGACCTTGCTGTTGATGCTTGCTTGGAGCTTTCCAATGTCAAGGACAGTGGGAGAGCAGGAGAAAGACACTGCGTGGGCCTGTAATTACAGAGAGCTTCTCATTTGTGTAGCTCCTGACATTTACTAAAGGTAAAAACCGAGCTTAAAGTGAGCGGGCCATTTTTTTAGATTCTAGATTTAGATTCTAGACTTACAGTGTTCTTTAGACATTATAAGCTAGTCATAATATTGCTATGGTAATATATACATAAGTACTATAAGCTCACATAAGTTACCCGAAACAAAGTTTTTAGTGGTTCTGATTATCCTTAGTCTTGAGTGCTATTGTCTATTTTGTTGAAATATAAACAGAAATTAAATAAAAATAAGAAACTGGGAGAATGCATCCTAACTGTTAGATAACACTCCCATTTTGGGTTGGACATGTAATTTTGTTGGATTAACATATAGATGTTTTGTGTTTTTATCAATAGTTTTATCTCCCTTATACAACTTCGTACTTTCAACAAAAGCAATCTCCTATGAGTTTCATGCTTTGAAAACCCTTTTTTACCCTCTGTGTTTGCTGCTAGTTTATGACTGATTTTTTTTTCAACTTATAAATCCAAATGGATTTACTGTGTTGTTTCAGGCAAACTACAAACTTTTAATTTAATTTAATTTTTTTATCCTCAAAGAAATCTGAAGTTAACAATGTGATGGAGCCCTTCTTTATCTTGACCGGTTCTTGCTCACTGCAGGTGACCCCCCCCAGCCCCCCTGCTGCCACATGCTGAGTTCCAGGCCCTGATCTGCTAGGACAACGGGACTCCTGTCCGCCCTGAGCCCGGGAAGATGGTGTCACAGTCTTCGGGCCAGCGGGATTCTCCTGTGGACCCCTTGGAAGGGGTCAGCAATGACTCTGGTGACGTTGATGGGCCACCCAGCCTCCTGGACATCAGCCACCTGCCTTGCCAATCAGACGTCAAGTTCACAAGGCACAGAGCTGCCTGGATTAACCCCCAGGGTGTGCAGGGGCAGGATCTGCCCCTCCAGGTGCCAACAGTGGGGAGCGGCGGCAGCCTCGTTGTGAGGGGTGCGGCCTCTCCCTTGGGCGCATCCCCTTGTTCTCTTGAGAGCTCGTCGGTGGAGACATCGCTGCAGAAAAACACCGTGGGCTCTGCAGGCAGCTGGGGCGAGCAGAGCAGCGACTCTGCCTTTATCTCAACTCGAGAGCTGGCCGTGCTCCCAGGACGCCGTCCTCGGTGGTCTCTGTTCCCCAGCTGCACCGCGTTGGCTGCTTCCCCACATACCGAGGCTGGCAGCCCGTGTCTCCAGCCTCCTCACCTGACAGCTCCCACCAGTGCAGGTAATGCCGGTCAGCGGCTTCCCGCATGCCTGTGCCTTCACACACTTGCCTCGTTTCAGTCCAAAGGCCGGAAGCCTGTCTCACTGTCTTCCTCAGGAGAGAAAGGGGCCCTGGGTTTCCCTTTGACCCGGAGCCTGTCCCTTAGCCCATCTAACACCGTCTTTGGCCCACCACCTGGGCCGTTGCACATGCTGGCATCAAGCATTTCCTTTCTCCTTCAATGACTGCAGGGAAATGCCACCTTAGCTCAACTTAGTTGATAACCAGTGCCACCTGCCACCTTGAGCAGGTGTGTACCTGCAGGAACCTCCCGCTTTTTAAACTATGTGCAAGGGACAGCATGGAAGCACCCTCAATCCACTGCGCTGGCGGCAGGTGTCTGCGGAGAGTGGGTTCCGCTGCACACCAGCGCTTACTAGGAGCTGAACTCCCCTCACCTATTATATCCACCTGGGCAGAGTGTGAGGAGAAAAGAGTAAGATGTAAAAACAGTAACCGCAATTCCCCAAAGGCTCAACAAAACCTTTCTCACACTTATTTTTATTAAATCAAGGGCTGTCATTGCTATGAGGTAATAGTGCACGTATTTCTGAAATACCTAAGTTCCTAAAAGGAGGTCATCCATGCAAATGCCAGTCAAGAGTCCATAGATTAGCTGTTGTTCTTTTTATAATTTGTAGCATGCTTATTTTATTTTTAAATATTCATTGGGCTATATGCACGCTTTGCGTTCATTGATATTGCTGTTACAACCCTAGCTCAGATAGTCAATGATGTTTTCTCTGTCGAAACCATTTCAAAAGCTGCCTGCCTTCCTGTGTGCGTGTGAGTCTGAGGGTGTGTGTCGGAATAGTTGTGTCTCACTAGCAGAAACCAGTTCCCCCCTTTCCTAAGGTATGGTGTTTATTTTTTCTGTTGGAAACTTTGAAAAGTCAAAGATGACGAGAGTCTTTTATTATTCATCACTTAGGAACAGGAGATTTTCATGGGCTAACTTTGAGATAAGATCCACATTGGAGCCACACAAAACACTCTGTATACAGGCCTGTTTTCTCTCTTTTTGCTCATCTGCTGGGAAGGTTCTCAGGAAAAGAGTGATTTGCAAATTCAGGGGCTGCTGAGCACAAGACAATCTCCGACTAGGTTGTCTCCCAGGGGAGGAGGAGGAGAATGTGGAGGAAAGGGACAGCACCCCCCACCCCCACAAGCCCCCCCCCCCCATGAGGAGTGATAGTAACAGAGATGATCTTCAGGCCTAGGACACCGCCACCCCAAATCCTCTGTCACCTGCTGCACAGGAAGTGGTCCTGCAGCTTTGCCTCGGTAGGAAACAGGCACTGCAGCCCCTTCGTTCCAAAGCCAGGGCCCCAGCAACCTCACTAAGGACCTTTAAAAAGCCACTCCATCTCTGGGGAGTATCTCTTCAACTTGGTGAAGGGATTCATTCCATGGGATTAAAAAAAAAAGCTGAGTGATCCGGTTCTTTCTGTCTTTAGTGTGGGGCCGCAGTGGGGGGAGCAGGCTTTGGCCACCAGGACATGGACTTTCCTACGTCTATTGTGTCTCCAGCGGCAACAGTGGGGTTTCCTCTCCCAGATTAAGGCGAGGAAAAACCACTTGAGCTAGTCAGCGTTTCCCAAGGCTGTCAGGAACAGTCCCCAGTCCCTGTGTCTGGGTCACATCTACACACTGACAAAGCACTTTCACATCCTTTGCCTCCTTTAATCTCATAGAGAACCGCCCCCCCTTCCCCCACCTGTAAGGGATGAGGGCACTGAAATGCAGGCTCACGGCTGGGGCGTGGGGAACCCACACCGTCTGATCCGACTCTGTGCTCTTCTCTATGTGTTCGGGGTCCAAAAACCACGACCAGGTCAAACCCAGCCAGCCTCCTGGCTTTGAGGCTTTGTCCGTTTTGCCTGTCCCCGCTCTCTCACTGCGGCGGCAGAACTCAGTAGGTGGAACACATGCCGTATGGATCCCAGGTCCCACACTATGTGCTACTTAGTTGTCCTTTTCCAAAAAAGTGTGCCCACCCCCCGATGGCTTCTGAAGCCCAGAGGTCCACAGTTTTCTGTGGAGCAGCTGTGTCCTGGAGATGAGGCCAGGGATTTGAGGGGTCCCCCGGGCATCTCCGTTTGTCACCCCGAGTGCTGTGAAATCCTCAGGATGCGGGTAGCATTTTGCTCCCATCTAGCAGTTGGGACGGCCCAGCTTTCGGCTCTCACAGAGACGTTCTGCCTTGAACGCTGCCACAAGGAAGCACGTGAGGGAAGTCACTGGTGTTTTGCCGGGGCCCCCTGCCAGTAACGGGGTGACGCTGGCGGGCGTCAGCGGTTTTGTTTCTGCCGACAGGAAGTCTTGGGTCAATGGCAGCGAGGTGGAGGAGTGACTCCATGATTCTCGTGGCTGTTTCTAGACTCTGCCTCCAGCCCCCTAGTTAGTGTCCTTCTTCTCTCTGCCCTCTTAGCCTCAGGGGGTCTCCTCCAGTCCAGCGGCTCTTCCGTGTCCCCCCCGTCGTTCCAAGAGCCTCTCATAGAAACCGTGGCCATTAAGGCGTCTGCCGGTCCCGACACCAGAAGGGCCATTCTTCTCCTGTCACCCTATGCACCCTAGAATTGTGCTGATAAAAAAAAGCAACACTGGAAAGCCATTCCCTAGAACTGTTTTCTTAGATAATCTTCGAGCCTTTCATTCTGCATTGTTAATAACTCGCTGTTTGGCAGGTGCCGTTCCAGTGGGTAGGAGAAGCGTTTCCTTAAATTCCTTCTCCCCAGAAGCGTTCACGTTCCCTGTTGGTGTAGAAAAGGTGAATATTTCTTCTTCTTCTTCTTTTTTTAACCACAGCAAGCGCTAATCCTTTAGACAGTGCCATCATGGTTTAAACTTGGCAATTTCACTCGATGAGGTGAGGCCGGCGGGTTTCACCCCAGCATGTGAGGGGTGGAGGGTGGTGCTGCCGGGACCCCAAGCTGAGAAGGTTCTGAGCCTGCGCCGCCACCGTGGAACGGCTGCCCCGGTGGATGAGCGAGGGCGGCCTTCGGGCCGCCTCCAGCCCAGGGTTTTATCCCACAAGTTCAAAGCGGGTTGTCTGCCGATCGCAGTGGGCTAAACCTTATGTCTCTGGAAGACGTGAGTTAGACTTTACTCAGTGACCAATGATAATTCGGTTAAAGGAACATTTTTATTTCTACACCTTAACTCCCCTTAAACACAGCTTTCTGATTTTTGAACCTAAGACACCTCCATGGAAAGGGGCCAATCAGGCTGGTGTTTTAACTGATGCTGTTCCGCAGGAAAATGCACACTTCCAGGCCGCCGATATGATCATCTCAGCCATGGAGACGATGAAGTGGGACCTCCTGAGTGGACAGCACACGGAGAACTGCAGCCTGGACGAAGCCAGCGGGTCACCTGGGAATGACTGCGGTGGCTCCGCAGTGGCCTTCTGTACCCACAGACAGCAGGAGTCGGGGTCTTCCACCTCCTCGGACAGTGGCTACGAAGGCAAGCGGGCGGGTCGGAGCCGTGTCCTCCGCGTACTCCCACCTCCTCTGCCGAACCTGAAGTACACCTTTAAACCCCTTGTCCAAAATGTCTTGAGCAACCTCTACCATCCTCACCAGTTCTGCCATTGGACGTGGGGTCCATCAGCAGGCTCCACTCAGGGGTTAAATGGCTGTGCTTTTGTTGTTTCCCCCTTGGACTTCCTGCCACATTTCCTTTTGGCAGCGGCTGACCTCCCCCCTCTTCCTTTGTTTTCTGTCACGTGCATTCTCCTGGCTCTTCCTCCTTTTCCAAGTCGTCCTCTTTCATCCCCGTTCCACAAACAAGGAGCCTGTGGGGTGCTGGGTGCTGGGCACCAACGGGCGGCAGGGCGGGCTCACTCCCTCCAGGAGCACAGGCCAAGGGAGCCAGGGAGCCCTGGGTGGCAGGCAGGGCCCGCACGGTGGTGGCCCACAGAGCAGAAGGGGTTCCAGGCGTCCACCCTGCCGGGACAGGGGTCCCCAAGCTGAGGACTGAAGATAGGGCTCATCCTTTTCCTAAGGGGCTCCATCATTTCCTGTCAGCCCCAGAACCTCCTTTTCCTACATTCACCTCCTGGAGACTCTGCCCCCTGCGGTGTCTTCCCACCATTCCCTGTCTGTTGGCCTCGCCACGCTGTGTTTTCGGTCCCGCACCTCCCCTCTGAGTGTGTGCGCCTCGTGGCTGGGCCCTGGGGACCACGGCCACCTGGATGGCCCCCCAGGGCCACTAACGTAACACGTCTGAGTTAGTCACATCTCTCACTCCCGCACAGCCCCTTTCTGCAAAAAACAAAACCAAACCAACAAACCCCAAACCCAACCTTTTCAGGAGGGAGGAACTCGGTCCGGTGGTACATATGAGCACAGGCTTGGCGTGAAACAGGTGAATAGTAATGTGCTGCTGAACACACTACCTGGCTCAGACGAAAAGGAAGCTTTTTAGACAGCGTATAGAGCACCCTTGTTGACCCCCAGCAGCGGGAGATAGGAGACTGACCCGTGTGGGGGCAGCTCCGGCCTCCGTCTGCGCTGGGGCTTTGTGGTCACTCGTCAGCCGCAGCTCAGCACGCACATGCTTCCTCCTGCTTCTCCTCGGCCTGGCTGCCTCCACCCACCCAGACGGGAGCCCCGGCTTCCTCAGGCATCTCCCTGCCTGCTCAGCCAGGGCCTCGCGGGGCCCCAAGTCCGGGTTACCGGGAAGAACACTGGTCCGCTGGCTGTGTGGCCGGCGAGGTGCACCAGGGGTCAGGGAACACACTCTGCTCCATCACTCCCTCGGGGGTCCCCAGTGGGGAGGAGAGGCTGCTGGTTCATGTTGACCTCTGACTCCTCCTGCTCCCCTGTGCCCGCATTTCTAGTCACCTCCTCTCAGGAACAGCGGCGCCCCCCCACCCCCATGCACTCCCTACGCCTGCCTTCTGCCTGGGCCACACAGCAGCCTCCTGGTCTTCACTTGGACCAAAGCAGCAACCCTGGCGAATCGGGACGATGCTCTAACCAACTGAGCTTACCCAGCCGGCACTAACAACTGTATTCATTTCTATGTGTATTCCGTGAGGACAGTTGAATAATAATCATATACTCGCACTAATGTAAGAACAACAAAACTTAGCTCCTTGCATTTTTAAAAAGTTCTTGGAGCAGAACTTTAAAATTCTTTTCAAAGTAACCCCTCAGCCCCTTTTCCCCTAGTTCCCACACAGTCGGGTGTGGCAGGCTGGGGCCACGTTTTCCTGCTGGTGAAGCCCCTTCCCTGTCTCCCTCCAGGTTGCGCTGTGCTGCAGGTCAGCCCAGTGGCTCAGGCGCCTGCCGAGGGTGACGCGGCGGAGGAGGCCTGCACACGGGACTTCGAAGAATTTGTTATTGTAGGTAAGACGCAGGAACTCCTCCGGTGTGACCAGATACCGCCCTCCTGCCCACCCCCCTCCCCTCCCCGCAGTCGATGTGCCTCGTGAGCAACACCACGGGGACAGAGGCATTTCGAGAAACGTCTCCCCAAATGAGAACATGTCCCTCATGTGAAAAAATAAACGGTTCTTTGTTTCAAGTGTCTTGGCAGGGAGCCCGTCATCTCACGTGCGGGAGGGGATGCGGAAGCAGATGCTCGTGATGGGCTGATGCCTGTCGGACCTCGCAAGTCCTTTGGTGAAGTGTCAGAGGAGTGTGTTTCAAAACCCCACGCTCGGGTCCTAGCTTCGGTCTCCCGATAGACAGACACCCCAGGGAGCCCCGAGCGTGGAGGTGCTGGAGAAGCAGTTCTCTCTGAAATGCAGGGAGCTGCCTGTGTGTTCCCCTTAGAACTCTGACGGCGATTCCCTGAAGCAGGCCAAGTGACCTGGCTCTTTCTCTGATTTTCCCACAGAGCTTGCGGAGTGTAGCGACCCCTCAGAAACCCGCACGCGTTCCTGCCGCCCCTCGAAGAGGTACCGTATCTCTCTGGCGTGTCCCCTCCCACGTAGACCCCTGGGCCACCACCTCTGAGGCGCTCTGCACGCTGGTTTCAGGCCAGGTTCAGCCGCTTCCAATGACAGGGGCTACCATGTAGAAATGAAACCAAGACCACTCAAGTTCCTGCAGTGTTTTTATAGTGTTTAGTGAAAGGCTTTGGGATACATTCTTATTTCATCCTCAGGAATGGGCTGGGGGTGGTGGTGTTTAAAGGCCCATTTTACAGATGGAGAAGCTGAGGCTAGATAGGGTGTGCATCGGGGCCTAGTGCTGTGAAATAAGAGCAGCAGGGTTGGAACTCAGGCCTGCTCACTGCGAATCCAGCGCTCTTTTCACTCTACCTCTCAGTCTCGGGAACCGCCCCGCCCCCCACCCCAAGTAAATAAAGCAGCTCTGTGAAGCATGGCGGGATTGTGGTGAGGACGAAAGACCCCCGTTGGTACCGTGGTTGGTGCTGGTCTCTCATGGCGCCTCCTCTGAGTTTTCAGAGAGGGAAGGGGAGTCAAAACCTAAAGAAACACTCACCCTCCTCATGAATATAGGCTTTAATTTTTCTCTCTCTTTTTTTTTTTTTTGCATTGCTTACATTCCAGTGTAATTTATGAGCCAAACTTTAATTCTGCTGAGCTGATAGCCCGAGAATTGTACCAAGTGTTCCGGAGGTGCTGGGTGCTGTCGGACGCTCATCATCAGCTGGCGGTGTCCCTGAAGGCAGGTGGCTCGATAGTACGTACCAGGGGAAAGCGGCTTTGAGTGGGAAGCTCCTGAACTCACATTTCACCTGCCATTCGCCCATTCGCTTCAGACCCGGGGGTGTTCCCTTTAGAGTAGCCGGCTGCTGGGGGAGGGCTCCAAAGGCAGGATGAGTCTCAAATCCATCGAGTATTTATTATGCACCAGGGACAGTGCTCGGTGATTCCCTTTTAATCCTCAAATGTATCCTATGAGGTAGAGGCTATTGCCATGTTTATTTTAAGGTGCTAGCCTCAGACCCCAGCAGGCCTGGTCAACGTGGAACAGGAGTCACGCCACAGGCTGCTTATTTTTCTTCTATCCTCACCTGAGGATATGTGTACTGATTTGAGACAGAGAGAGACCAAGAGAAATGTGGATGTGAAAGAGAAACATCAATCGGGTTGCCTGTACGTGCCCCGACTAGGGAGGCCAAACCTGCAACCCCAGCATGTGCCCTGACCAGGAGTCAAACCCCGTGACCTTTTTTTTGGTGCATCGGATGATGGTCCAACCAACCGAGCCACCCGGCCAGGGCCAGGTGGCCTCATCTGAAAGTCCGGTTCCCTGTTGAACTCTGACCTTGGACTGCATCCCATTCATTGGGGGATGGAGACCTTGGTGCAAAGGCTAACCCCTTAACCCAATAAATTCAATATAAACAAATGAATGAATGAAATAGAGGGAGGCAAAAAGCACTCTGGAGATGCAAAGGAGGCAAAGACCAGCTGGAACAAGTGCCATGCAGGTGTGAGGTGCCTCCTGAGCAGAGTGGTTTGCTGTGGTTGCATAGCGCGTGTGTGGGGGGAGTGGGGTGGTCTTGAGCTTCCTGGGAAATGAGGGTTGAATGTAGTGGCCCCACTACAGAGCACACAGGATGCTAATTGCAGGAGTGTAGATGGTAAATGACAACACGGGAAGTTTCCCGGTTCAGAGGGCAGCCGAGCAGGTCTTAAACGGGCTGGTTCTGGGTGGGTCTGCCGGCCACAGGGGTCCGGACGGGCAGCACCTGCCGACCTGTTGAGGAAAAGGGGCCCGGCTTCTGCCATCCGCGACAGCTTCCCAGGTCACAGTGACCTGCTTGCAGTCATCTGAAGTCTGGAAACAAATGAAATAACTAAAAGAACCAAGAAAGTCTGAAAAGCGATCTCAGCCGATGGCGATTTAAGCAATTTTTCTGCGGACGGCTTTGGCTGCGTGAAGGGCTTTTGTCCCATCCTTTCGTCCAGCTGAAAGCAGTTTCAGTTTTTTGTGGTAAATTTTAATGTTGGAAACGCATTTGATTCCAGTTTCCCAAATAGGCCCGTTTAGGTGGTTTCTGAATTCCCTTCTGTGTTGTGCAGGTTGTGAATGAAGAGCGTGTCCAAAAAGACTTTGAATCCAGTGTGGATTTCGGAGAGGAAATTAAATTTAAGTCGAGGATCAGAGGGACGGAAGACTGGGCGCCCCCCAGGTTTCAAGTCATATTTAACGTTCATCCTCCGCCTAAGTGAGTCGGGTTGCTGTGTGGGCTGCCAATCCAGTTAAAGAAGTTGTGATGGTTCTGTTACCAGTGTTGGGGTTCTCGGGGGTCCCTGAGACAGAAATCGAGAGGAAATCCCAGAGAAATTCCAGACAGATTTTACTGAGCTTTTATGTCCCAACACCGAGGACAGGAAGGTCTTGTGAACAGGCTCAGGGGGCTGGCTCCACTTGGCCACTTGTATAAGCTGGGCACAAAGCAGGCTTTTGGGGGGTGAGTTCATTCTGCAGCTGAGTTGCCCGGTAACTACGTGCCCACCTGGGCTGAGCTGGGGCAAACGGCGGGCTCCGCCCCAGGGAGGCCACGGAGAGGTGGAACCTTGGCTCCCTGTGCGTGTGGGTTGGTAGTTCCGACACCTGCGAGAAAGCAGGTGGTCAGAAGGGAGATAAACCAGCTACCTCTGTGTTTTTGAGTAGGGAGTGGAGGGCTGCGGACATTCTGGTGGTCCGCTTATTCGGCTTCCTTCCGGATACCTGGTCTTAACTTGGCGTCTTCGCCACCCGGTACTGTTTTTCTACCCCGGACCCAAGTCCCTAACCTGTCTCAGTTCCCACCTGACTCCGTGGAAGTAGGTGAAAGAAAAGAATACACTGAAGGACAAAAAAATCTTGTAGGAAAAGCTAAGTTGGGCATGTTTTTCTCTTAGCTTTCTTGGCACCTGTTTATCACGGGCTTTGGGGGAGGGGACCCTGTGAGTTTGGTAAGTGGAGAATTTAACTACAAGTCCTTAATTGTGAACATTGCCTCACAACTGAAACAGGCTTGAAGGGGGTTTTCAAACCGGTTAATGTTGAACCTGAAGAATCATATACAATAACGTTAAAAGACTAGTCCTTCGTATTTTTCTGTGCAATGGAAAATAAAAATCAAGGAGTAATTTTTTTTAAGGAAACTTAATCTCGAGAAGAGCTCCTGTCATTGAGAAAAGGCATATAGCTAGGGTTCTGCGTATTTTTACCATGGCCATTTTTGATGACGCTAAACTATAATAAAATTGTATAACTTGTTGCACATCTCCGAATCACAGATGAAAATATGGTGCCAAAGTTCAATAAAAAAAAAAAAACACTTCACCAGATGGTCTCCCACCAGAAATGCTGTATGGTTTTGTCTTACATTATCTCTCATTTATCTAAATTTCTTTGGACCATCCGTGAACTTCCCAACTACATTCCCTCCTGGTGCCTGTCCCCTGAACCTGTGCCTGCGCAGTGGGGAGTCCCTGAAGACCCCTGGTGGACGTGTTCTGTGTGCTACTGACTTCTGCTTTGGTGGTAGCAGGGCCTTTTAACTGACCCAGAAAAAGCAATGGAATGATTCTTTTTCTTTCACAAGTGAAAGTGACAGAATCAAGGGCCCAAGCCAAGAAGAGTACTTTGATGTCAGTTTATTTTTCCAAGCAGTTAAAATATGCTCCATCGGCCTTCTCTGAGATGCAACTGTTACTATTTTCTGTACTCAGGAGGGACCTCGTGGTCGCAGCCCAGAATTTTGTGTGCGCAGGCTGTGGAACTCCAGTGGAACCCAGTAAGTGTGGAAATGGACCACCCGCTTACGACACTGCGACGGGGCAGGGACTGGCAGGGGTGGGCAGGGTGCTGATCGTGAGAGAGGCCTTCAGCGATGAGCCCGTCTACGAGCTTCATACCGTGGCCCTGTTTCCTGAAGGGGCCGCTGGGACCTCCGGGTGATGGGACTGGCCTCTCGGACTCACTGCTAGTTCCCTCCCCACCTGGCACTCAGCTGCCGCCTCATGGCCTCCCTGCCGGTCCTCGGAGGCGGCAGGCTCACTCCTGACTTGGAATGCCAGCCACCCCCAAGGCAGCTTGCCTCCCTTCCTCCCTCCCTCCTTTTCTTCCTTCCTTCCTTTCTTCCTTCTTTCCTTCCCATCATCCCTCAGGAGCCCTGGCATTTTCCCCAGCTGGCCCATTGCAAACGTGTGTGCATTGTTCGACCCTCCCTGCTGCTGTTTTATCCCAGCCCTTGTTCCCCTGCAATACCCTCTCGGATGTTACCGGTGTTTGTCATTATCATCTTTCTCCCTCGTTGGTTCTCAGTTCCGCCAGGACAGATGCATTGTCTGTTTCACTTGCTGCTTTCACCCCAGCTCCTAACAAGGGTACCTGGCACACCGTTGGTCCCCAAAAGATAAATTTGTTGAAGGACCCAACAGCTTACCAAGAAGCTAGCCAGACTCCTTCGAGGGGGTCTGCAAAGGGGCCTGGGGGGATCATTCCTGGGCCAGCTGAGGCCTAGGAACTCAGGCTTCCCCGAGTCGGAAATGCAGGTCGCCCACTTGAGACCAGGAATCACTGGGTTCACAGTTCTCGCCATTGTGACTGATTTTCCTTACATGCTTCACCTTCCCAGTGTTGCAAGGACCCTCTCTCTTGGGTCCACTGAACTCTGGTGCCTCCGTAATACTGAGTCAGAAACTAGGAACAGATGACTCTGATTCCACCGACTCATCAAGTACTTCCCTAAATTCACTCAAACACGAACATGTGTGCCTGCAACAGCCGTAAACAGCCCTGGTCCCTCCCTTGTGCAGCCTGCCCACAGGAAGACATAGTCATCAGCTAAGTCAATATCAGGAACCAGGCACACAAAGAAAGAGAAAGTCGAGAGTGCCGGGATTTACAGCAAGGGAAATTGATCTGGGCCTCGGGTGGGTGAGAAGTTCCGGACAGAAGTGATTAGCCCCAGAAGAGTGGGGGTGGGGTGGGGGGTGGAGCATGAGCCGCCCTGTGCAAAGCACTGCTGCAAAGAAAACCTGAGCCACCAGAGGGTGAGAATGGAGGAAGCCAGGTGGCAGGCAGCCCACAGACTCTAGAGGCATTATCAACCGGGCAAACAATTCTGGACTTTTTGTGTGAAATCCCCATAGTTCTTAGGATAATTTTAACAACGTTTCATTTTTAGTGATTTTAGACTCACAGAGGAGTTGTAAAAATAGTGCAGATGTGCCGTGTACCCTTCCCGCAGCTTCCCTATGTTAACATAATCATCCCCGTGTCATGATTCAATCCGAGAAATAAGCACTGTTGCAATCCTGTTAAATTACTACAGACTTGGTGCAGATGTCGTGAATGACCTTTTTCTGTTCCAGGGTCCAGTCCAGAACGCCACCTTTGAATTTAGCTGGCACATCGCTAACCTCACACACACAGGGACATTTGAAAAGAGAGCAGCAGACAACTATTATAATGCTTCATACTGAAGCATGCTCTAACAATAGGATTATGAACAGTTACCACACCAAAGAAAATAACGCTTCTCTAACATGGTCTAATACTAGTCCATATTCACTGATGTCCTTAAGATGTCATTAATAGCTCATTTTTCTTCCCAAGCCTCAGCCAAGTCTCATCCATTGCATTCAGCCAGTATTTCTCGTTCGTTGGCTTTATTCTCGAACTGGGATGTGCAGTATGGTAGCCACTAGCCCCCGTGGCTGCTTAACACACGAAAATTAATGTAAATTAAAAATCCTGTTCTTTAGCGACCCTTGCTACTTTTCAAGTGCTGAACAGCTTCACGTGGCTAGTAGCTACTGCACTGGACGGCACAGGTGGAGAACATGTCCATCCTCACCAAGTTCTGCTGGACAGCAATGTTCTAGAATTTTTGCCCCCTATTTTTCCCTAAAATGAGGACAACTGTGGTTAAGAGCTGGGTTTCTTAGTCTTAGTGCTGTTGTTTTGTGGAGGCTGCCCCCTGGGGTATGGGAGGACATATAGCAGCTTTCACTAGAAGCCACTAGCAGCTTTCAACCCAGAATGTCTTGTGATGTGACAATCCGGCTGTAGGGTTTTGCTTTCCCCATGTCTGTACCCCCACAGCGAAGCTCATGCACGGCCGGGATTTAAGGCCTCCAACCCCTGCCCGGCTTTCCCAGCTGCCATGAGGGGCAGTATAGCTTCCGCCGCAACCTGAGCCTGGCCCTTGGGTGGGACCAGAGGCAGGGCCACGAAGGTGGGTTTTCCGCGCCCCCCACGGATCGGTGCTCACCTCCGCAGAGTTTGTGAAGCGGCTGCGGTACTGCGAATACCTGGGCAAGTACTTCTGCGACTGCTGCCACGCCTACGCCGAGTCCTGCATCCCCGCGCGCATCCTCGCCACGTGGGACTTCCGGAAGTACTACGTCAGCAACTTCGCCAAGCAGCTGCTGGACAGTATATGGCACCAGCCCCTTTTCAATGTGCTGAACGTCAGCCGCAGCCTGTGTGCGAAGGCCAGGAAGCTGGAGGCCGTCATGGTGAGCAGCTGATTTTTGGGGGGCCGAGTGGGGATCGATCCAGACAGACCCTCGGAGGGAGGGGCTTACCATCCCTGTGCAGCGGGTGGAGCTGACGCCTCTGGGCCCGGGCCTGCGCTGGCTGAGGCAAAGGCGCGTGCCAGATTTTATATTTATGCACAGTTATGCATTTATACAGCACTTTTTAATGTATTATTTTATAAAAACAAAAGTGGTGTATGTCTGAGTGTACAGCATGGCTTAAAGCACGTCATGAAATGATTATTAGTTCATATATCCACCTACTTACGCAGTGACTGTGCGTAGGGAGAGAACCTGAAGTCTGCTGGGACATTTCCGGTGTTTGATGCCGTGTTGTTAACTAGAGTCATCACGCTGTGCATCACACCTAACCGCATAACTGTGACTGTGTGCCCTGTGACCCCCATGTCCCCACTTCCTGCATCTACCCCCCACCCCCCCTGCCCCTGGGGACCGGTGTTTAAGTCTCTGCTTCAGTAAAAATTAACATTTTTACATTCCACACACCAGGGGACCAGGCAGTTTTTCTTCTCTCTGTGTCTGGCTTATTCCACTTCGAGATCCTCTAGGTTGTTGGAAATGACAAGACCTCCTCCTTTTATACAGAATTATGTACGTTTCTTAGAGGCCTTCAAGGATGTATGAACTTCAGGGTCCACGACACCTGGGTCCATCCTGGCCCATCTGAATCTGCACTCAGCCGCGAATCCCTGCTGTGTAGACTTGGTTTCAAAGGCTTGGGTTTTTGGGTTGCCCCGTTTCAAGTAACACCTCAGTTTGATGTGGACGTGTTCAGTGTCTCTGGCCACGTTGCGAGGACCCCGTTCCGTGTCTCCCCTTAGGAAATCCAGGAGCAGCTATTTCATGTCAAGAAGCTACTGAAGACCTGCCGATTTGCTGAAAGGTACCGCCCTGGGCTGGGCCAGTCTGGGCATGTGACTTGGGAGGACCCGTACCCTGTACACATTGCTGATTTTCTGCACACCTGCAATGCAAAGAGCCTCTCAGCACAGGGCAGTTGTCCCTTGGCATCTGTGGGGGGACTGGTTCCAGGCTCCCTCCCCACCCCCTGTGCTACCAAAATGCTCAAATCCCTCTTATAAAATGGCATAGTATTTGCATAGACCTATGTTTGTATATAGGCTACAGCAGGGTATGCCTACTGATAGATCACTTCATTCACGGAAATTCAGCACAGGGCTTGGCACATGGCAAATGTAAGTCTTGCTTTTTGGAATTTTCTGGGTTTCTTTATTTCTGAATGTTTTTGATCTGGGCTTGGTGGAATTTTTGGATGCTAAATCCAACCTGCAGATACAGAGAGAGGCACACAAACCCTCTCTTTAAAGTTATTAAACCCTCTGACTCACTAAGAGTACATTTACTTTGTTAAGAAGAGCAAGTCAGTGCAAGGATGAAGAAACTGTAGCCAGTGGCCTTTTTATTATTTTTAAATTTTGGTAAGATAAACATAACATAGAATTGTCCATCTTAACCACTTTTAAGTATTCGGTTAGAGGGGTTAAGTACACTCATATTGTTGTACAATCGTCATCCCGATCCATCCCCCCAAATATTTTCATCTCGTGAAAATGAAGCTCTGTGTTCATTGAACACCAACCCCCAGTCCCTCCTCCCCACACCTGTGACAATAACTAATCTACTTTATGTATCTACAAATTTAACGATTCCATATTTCACTCAGTGTAATGTCTTCAAGCTTCGCCCAAGTTGTTCACATGTCAGAATGTCCTTGCTTTTTAAGGCCGATTGTATGTATTGTACATACCACATTTTGTTCATTCATCCACCTGGGGTTGTTTTCACCTTGTAGCCATTGTGAATAGTGTTTCTGTGAGCAGGGGGTACCGATGGCTCTTTCAAAACCCTGGATAGAGCGGCATGTCAAACTTTTATCGGCCATATAGTATTCTAGACTATGGTGTGGTGGTCATTTAACTACTGTCCTACTACTGATAGATTTTTAGCCAAATAGAATTTAAATATCTTAATATTAAAATAGATTTTAATATTTTTAATTAAATCTAATAGTTTTAATAGGTATCTAAATATATTTCTAATCTTTTGTTATTTAAAAAACTAGTTACTTAGAATAGTACCCCCTATGTCCATTCATGTTTTTGCAAATGGTAAGATTTCATTCTTTTTTATGGCAAAGTAGTGTTTCATTGAATATATGTACCTCAGCCTCTCTATCCAGTTGTCTGCAGATGGGCAGCTGGGTTGCTTCCATAGGTTGGCTGTTGTAAATACTACTGCGGTGGACACGGGCGCACACCTCTTTTTAAATTGGCGGTTTGGATTTCTCCAGAGAAATACCCAGAAGTGGGATGGCTGGGTCATATGGAAAGTTTGCTTTTAAGTTTTTGAGGAACCTCCATCCTGTGAAATGAGTCAGTCAGAGGTGGACAAAGACCGTGTGATTTTACTCATCTGTGGAGTCTAAAAATAAACAAACTAGACTTATCCGGGAGCTACGCCACTGTGCTGTACACCTGAAACTCACATGATGTTGAATGTCAGCTGTTACTGAAACAATTTTTTTAATTAAAAAGCCTAGGTTTTAGCTGAATCTCTGCCCACATCCATAGGACTGTCCTTAGGATGAACTTCTAGAAGTGGAATTTCAGGGAGCCATGCCCACAAGGGTATAGGCATGGATTTTTAAAAGGAGACAGATGTTTAAGTGGCAAAGAGTAGGTCACTCAAGGAGTTAAAACTATTTGTTGTCCCAGGACCATAGATTTGAAGTTCTTTTCTTTTAAGGCTTCTTTCCATTTCTAATCTTTACATCATGATGATGTTTTACTTTGGAATGAAATCTCTTGGGGACGAGCTTGTCTCCTGCAGTTCCTTGGCCTTGAGGTCGACCTCGTGGCATTGGGTGACAGGTAAATTACCCCTCAGGTGCTTCGTTTTCTTGACTGTAACATGTACCAATACCCACAATTCTGCCCATCTGCTACAGTTTCTTTTTTTTTTAAATTTTTTTATTGATTATGCTGTTACAGTTGTTCTATTCCCCCTTTCATTCCCCTCCACCCTACCCCCCCATCCCCACCAGCCCCCCTTTAGTTTATGTCCATGTGTCTCAAGTCCTTTAGGTTCTATATTTCCCATGCTATTCTTGCCCCCCCATCTATTTTCTATCTACTGTCTATGCTACTTATTTTCTGTACCTTCTCCCCCCATCTCCTCCTCCCACTCCCCTGTTGCTAACCCTCCTTGAGATCTTCATTTCTATGTTTCCACTCCTGATCTAGCTGTCCTCTTAGTTTGCTTTTTGTTTTAGGTGTGGTTGTTAATAACTGTGAGTTTGTTGTCCTTTCACTGTTCATGTTTCTTTAACTTCTTTTTCTTAGATAAGTCCCTTTAACATTTCATATAATAAGGGCTTGGTGATGATGAACTCCTTGAATTTGATCTTATCTGAGAAGCACCTTATCTGTCCTTCCATTCTAAATGAAAGTTTTGCTGGATAGAGCAATCTTGGTTGTAGGTCTTTGGATTTCATGACTTGGAATACCTCTTTCCAGCCCCTTCTTGCCTGTAAGGTCTCTTTTGAGAAATCCTCTGACAGTCTGATGGGGACTCCTTTGTAGGTGACTGTCCCCTTAGCTCTTGCTGCTTCTAGGATTCTCTCCTTCATTTTAATCTTGGCTAATGTAATGATGATGTGCCTTGGTGTGTTCCTTCTTGGGTCCAACTTCTTTGGGACTCTCTGAGCTTCCTGGATTTCCCGGATGTCTATTTCCTTTGCCATCTTGGGGAAATTCTCCTTTATTATTTGTTCAAATAAGTTTTCCACTGGTGGCTGTGCCTTTCCCCCTTCTGGTACCCCTATAATTCGGATGTTGGAGCGTTTAAAGATGTCCTGGAGGTTCCTAAGACTCCCCTCATTTCTTTGAATTCTTGCTTCTTGACTCTTTTCTGTTTGGCCATTATTTGCTTTCTTCTGGTCCACTCCATTGATTTGAGTCCCAGTTTCCTTTTCACTGCTATTGGTGTCCTGTGCAATTCCATTCATTCCAATTAGTTTTGCCTTCATATATTTGTCTAATTTGTCGGTATAATCAACCAGTTCTGTGAGGATCCTGATGACCAGTGTTTTAAACTGTGCGTCTGAGAGTTTTGCTATTTCTTCATCGCTTAGATCTATGGGCTCTGGGGCTTTGAGATATTCTTGCGACATTTTTGGTCTGTTCTGGCCCTTTAAGTGTGAGAAGCGGTGCCTTGGACTCCCAGGTCGCTGGGTTGTGACGCTGTATGTGGGGGCGTGGTCAGAGCGGGGAAATGGTGACCCCCTCTGCTGTTTCTCACAGCTGGGTGAGGATCAGCGCCTTAGGTGGTTCACCTGGGTCTGGCCACTCAGAGTCGCTGGGTTATGACGCTGTATGTGGAGGTGGGGTCAGAGCAGGGAAATGGCGGTGCTCTCCCTGCCGCTTGCCACGGGGACCCGCCCGCCCCGGTCCAACAGCCCACTCCCTCTCCTGTCTGCCCGCGCACAAATGCTTGACCACAGTCAACACGCAGCACCCCTCCCCGCTGTCTCCCCCGAGGTCGCTCGCCTGGTTGCTCGCTCGGTCGCTCACTAGGTCCAACCCTGCGCCTGGATTCCGTGCGTATAGATTCCGCGTGCTTGAGTCCGTCTGACCGAGTTTTCCTGTGCAACCCCGTTTCACCAGCTGCTGGTTTCGCCCCTTACCGGTCAGGCTGAAGAATTTGTTGTTAACGGACTTTCGAAAAGTTCAATTTTCCATGTTCTGGCTGTGTTTTCTGTTGCTAATATTTAGTTGTTTCTAAACTTGGTTGTGTGAGAAGGCACGCCACATCCACCTATGCCTCCATCTTGGCGGAAGTCTGCTACAGTTTCTTAAACATCCGTCCTGTGTTTCACATTAAAAATATCAGTGGGACTCGTAAAGTTCAGAAAGAAAATCAGCACAACAGCTCCTGGCTGGACTGTGAGCTTGATAATGGTGTACAGAGCCCTGAGGGTGCAGAAGAGCATATAGTTCATGAGGGGTGGGCCAGGGAGGGGGCAGCCAAGGCTTCCGGAGAAAAAGCTGAGCCGGAAGAGGAAGCAGTGTGAGCAAGCGCCCCAGGCTGGATGGAGCATTAAATGTGGTTTGTTCTGGCTAGAAGGGCAGTCCAGTGTAGGCAGTGGCTGGCTTGGGAATGCAGTGCGTGGTGATGCTGCTCCCCAGTTTAGAGAATTTGGGGACCAGGAGGGTTTGGGGAATGTTGAACTCGGTTTCAAAAGCCCTTGGGACAGCCAAGTGCCCACAACAAGCCCACAGTTGGATACCCGGGTCTTAAGCCCCATCCTGAACTCCAGGATTTGGAAGCTTCATGCCTGTTCGTGATTAGTCGTTTTTGTGCCGGCTGGGGCAACTTTCGGCGATGGACTTGAAGTGGAGCTGGGATCAGTAAGGCAGTGAGTTGTCTATCCCAGGACATATTTCTGAGACTTGAAGTAACATTCGGTTTTCTTTTGCTCGGTGCGTGCATGGGCAGGCTGCAAGGGGCATGTTTCTCTTCCAGCTTCGTTGTTTGAAACCAGCATTTATGGCATTTTAATTGCTTGGCTTGCAAAAGCAAACTTGCCAAATGTAAAGTGATGAGTAAGGTGAACTTCTTCTTGGGGCTGTTTAAACAATCTGAGTTAAAAACGTCAGTGTGAGGGCCAGGAGGTAACAGGGGCTGCTCAGCCCACCCCCACTGCCCCAGGCCCTGTGAGGTGTGGCCCTGAGTCCTCCGTGTTTCCTCCCTGGCAGGGCATTAAAAGCATTTGAGCAGGTGCCCAGACACCTGACAGAGGAGCTCTACCTGTTCTCACTGGAAGACCTGGTCAAGGTCAAGAAAGGGTTGCTGGCACCCTCGCTCAAGGACGTTCTGAAAGCCGCTCTCGACCATGTGGAGGACTGTGAGGTAAGGTTCATGGGGGCAGGGGGCGGGGGGGGGTGTCCCTGAGCTGCCTCTCATGCATTCAGGGCCTGCACTGCACATTGTTTAACCCTTATAAACCCTGGCGGAAGTGCTGGCAATGCTATTTCCCAATGGGAACACGAGGTTCGCAGCTGTTAAGTCACAGGCCAGGGTCATTCTGCTGGTAAGCAGCAGGGCTGGGATGCACACCTGGGCCAAGCGACTTCTCATCTGGGGCGCCCAGCCCTGCTTGGGGCCAACCTCGACTCCCATCTGCCCAGTAGACCAAACACAGCAGCGTCAACTCAGCATTCAATGGCGCAGGAGCTCAGATCGACTAAGAATCCATGTTTAAAATCACGATCTTGGACTTCCGGCCAAAATGGAGGTGTAGGTAGACACACACTGTGTCTCCTCACAACCAAAAGAAGGACAACGACAAATTTAAAAACAAAAGATAATCAGAACTGCCAGAAAATCAAACTGTATGGAAGTCTGACAACCAAGGAGTAAAGAAGAAACACTTACCCAGACCATAGTAGGAGCAGAGATGGGCAGCTGGGCAGGGAGGACTCGCTGCGAGGCGATGGCTGGTGGACCGGGGGTCCCACATTCGTGTGCAGATAAACCAGGAGGAACAACTGGGGAGCGAGACAGACCTGCAACCCAGGTTTCAGCATGGGGAAAACAAAACCTCAAATCTTGACTGGAAACACCTGTGGGGGTTGAGGCGGTGGCAGACAAAACTCCCAGCCTCACTGGAGAGTCTGTGGGAGAGACCCACAGGGGCCTAGAATGTACACAAACCCACTCCCAGATAAGGTCAAGTTAAAGGAGTCCATCATCACCAGGCCCTGATTATACGAAATGTTAAAGGGACTTATCTAAGAAAAAGAAGATCAAAAATACGGACAGTAAAATGACAACAAACTCACAGTTATTAACAACCACACCTAAAACAAAAACGAACTAAGCAAATAATAGAACAGGAACAGAATCACAGAAATAGAAATCACGTGGAGGGTTATCAGTGGGTGAGTGGCGGCAGGGGAAGGAGGGGAAAGGTACAGAGCAGAAGTAGCATAAGTGGTAGGTAGAAAATAGACGGGGGAGGTTAAGGATGGTACAGGAAATATGGAAGCCAAGGAACTTATATGTATGACCCATGGACATGAACTAAAGAGGCGGAATGCAGGTGGGAGGGGGTGTGCAGGGCAGAGGGGAATACAGGTGGGGAAAAGGGACAACTGTAATAGCATAATCAACAAAATATACTTAAAAAAATCACGGTCTTGCTCTGGTCAGCTCGATGTGAAACTTCTCCATGCAGAATGGGCGCACGTTGGTGCTCTGATCCATCCACTGTGGAACGTAACATCCTGTTCCTCCCAGATGCTGGAAGTGTAAAAACTGATGCTTTTAGAGTTGTGTAGAAATGGTGCCCCAGGTTCTCCCTCCAGAGAAGCATTACCAATGATGATCTGAACTGTCGCCCCTCACAGCTGTGTCAAGGAAAGGGCTTCATCTGCGAATTTTGCCGGAGTGCGACCGTCATCTTCCCGTTTCAGACCGCAACATGTAGAAGATGTTCAGGTATCGTAATAAATTAGCAACATAAACTTTGGAGCTTGTTTTAATAATGAGGTACACAGTTAATAAAAGTCTCATAACAAGCACAAAATTCACATCAGCTTCAAGATAGCTAAGTAACACTAATTTAAATGATAATGATGCCGGTGTGTGCTTATGGGTGGAATTGGAGCTAATCGAGTTTTGGGTGTGTGGGGAGGAGTAGTATTTGGTTGCGACTGGGGTAAAGTGCGATGTCTCCTGGTGCAGGATTTGTAGAGAGGAGGTAGACGCTGTTTTGCCTGAGCCCTGATCCTTCTACGTCAGGACAAGCTCCAGCACCCCGTGAGATCCTGGTCACACCCAGCACTGAAGGGTTATCTCTGGCTTCTCTTGCGTTGCAATGGTGGAGCCCAGTAGTTGTCATAGAGCCCACGGGTCCTAAAACGTTTGCTGTCTGGCTGTTTCCAGAAGAGGCTGGCAGAGCCTTCTCTACTGCCTCCGTGCCCCAGGACACCCTGTGTTCTCTAACCTGCTTCATGGGAGAGGTCCGCCTGGAAATCTGCTTTCGTCCGTGATGTGCGTGGGCCCTCCTCTTAGACGGCTCTGGTGGTGTCTCCCCTGACTCATTAGACAGGGGTACAGTGGGGGCTCCTCTGCAGGGACACTCAGAGGCAGGGCTTCGCGTGCAGAGGGTTCACTGGGGCGTGGCCTTGGGCTCCACACCCATGACCGTGAGAAGGCAGCTGGGCCAGGCAGCGGGGAAGCTGACCCAGCTGTGGTTGAGTGAAGGCTCAGCCTGTGTCATGGGCAGCTCTGAAGCCGAGTGGCCTTCCGCATCATCTCAAATTGAAGACAAGGGGCCAGTGAGTCTTTAAACCCCACGTGGACCAGTCAGTCCCTCATGCAGACTGGTGCTACTAAGGGGACATGACCTTGAGCATGGAGTGCCCTCCCATTAAAGCCATTCCTGGAGAACGGGCTCCACCTCTGGAGCAGCCGGGGGGAATGCCCTTGGGGCAGAGCTGCAGCGTCCCCTCATCTCGTGACCCGTTGGGGCCCTTAGAGTCCCCTGTCAACCTGCCTGGTTTCTTTCTGCAAGCGTCCGGTCTCTGCACTCAGACCCTCTCTGTCCCCTTGGCTGATGGCCGTCCTCCTTGCTTGCAGAGTGCAGGGCTTGCTTCCACAAGCAGTGTTTCCAGGCCGCCCGGTGCCCCCGCTGCGCCCGGATTGCAGCCAGGAGACGGCTTTCGGAAAGTCTGCTCTCAGCGGCAACGTGATGCCCGGAGCACCGTGAGAACGACTGCCACGCCTTTTCGGACACCGGTGTGCGTCCACCGTGGGCGCGTTACTGTTTTAGATCTCGAGGATTGTATATTGAGAAGAAAGGTGGCCGATTTTCTCTCCATTGCATCGTTAATATGTTCAGAGTGCGGACTGCTGGTCGTGACTGGTGGCTTTGTTTACACGTGTTCACTGTCTTCGCTGCTACTGTTTTTTTAAGAGGTTTTGTAAAAATATTTATATTGCATTTGAATAGTTGTATTTAACGCATGGGGGAGCTTATTTTTTCATGCATTGTGACTGACAAGGTGAATGACTCAGTTCCTTTTCCTGTAAAGCTTGTTTGTGCGCTGGGCGGGAACGTCCACTGAACCAAAGCGCAACCCAGATGCCCTTGCTCGGGCTGGGTTTTCAGCCTCGGCGCCTCTGTACTGTGTCAGCCCTCCGGTCTGCACGACCCCCGGGTCTGCGTGGAGCGGTTCCATTTCCTCTGCAGCGCGTCAGTTTCAAGATGAGTCCCAGTTGCTTAACCACCTGGCAGGCGCCGTTTGAGGAAGCGACCCCCGACGGCGCTCCTGCCCCTGGCTCCAGTCAAAGCTATTTTTGTCACCTGTATCCAACGCACTAAGTCGAGGGGACGCGTGGGTGAACAGAACACATCCCTGCCCTTTGGGATGTCGTCTCGTAGATGCAAAATTGAACATGAGAGATCCAAAGACTTAAATAAGATGTGGGAAACTGTCGTCGGTGACGATGTGATAAAGGTCGTCCGCATCCCCATCCAGTCCTGTGTGTGTTTCATTCAGTTGGAGGACGCTGAGCACTTGACCTACACGAGTGTCCCCTATCGTCCTGGTGTCTTCTCGTCCTGTCACTTGTTTTCCCATCCGCTACCTCTGCCAGCTCTGTGTCCCCATTGACGATGTGAGCCGTGTCTCTTTTAAATGGAAATATTGTCACAGGGGAGAAGGCGAAAAGGATCTAAATTAAAACAATGTTCTGTTCTTACCTGTACCCTGTATTCCGTGTTAGGAATCAAGGGGCAGAGTGTATCTCGATATTCCTTCTGACAGCTCTATGAAGTTCACGTCGATACCTCCACTTTGCAGGTAAGGAAACAGGCTTCAGAAGCAGCAATAACGCACCCAGGTTCCCCCGAGCGGTGCATGGCAGAGCTGGGCTCGGCGCCGCACTCAGCCTGCCTCCAAAGCCCGTGTTCCTACTCCCTGCCTCTTCTGCATTACGCCTTTGAAATAGTATGAGCAAACCCAACTTGAACTTGTCAGTGCTGCTCCGACCTCAGTCAGCGGCATTGGACTGAGTGCTCTCGCCCCTTGCTGAGCGTTGATTTGATTAAGTTTCTGTGGCATCTGCATCGCTGGAAGGTCTCTGCGTTTATAAGGCGCTGAGAGCGTTGGGGGGATGGGCACATCTCTGATGGGAGAAAGAATGCACAGCCGCCCCCAGGAAGCAATGCTCTTGATTTTTAATTCAAGAACGAAGCAGTGGAAGTGGCCGTTCCATGGATTTGGCTGAGAGGTGGCTCCTCCCCACCGGGGCAGCAGAGACCCCTTCCTGGCAAGGTGCGTGTTAGAACAGAGAAGTGGTTTCAGCCCACGGCAGCGCCTGTAGGGAAGTAATTCGCTGTGGCCTGTATTGCTCTTTAGTGGGATTTGCTCCTTCTGTGGGTTTTGCATGCGACGCTTTGGCTGCCAGAATGATGATGAAGACACACACTTTCTTGGCACACTGTCACCCACCGGGAGCACGGAGCTGCCCTGCTGCGATCCCAGTGGTTAATTCCTTGGGAAATTGCAGTGACATGTTCTTTATAGTCATGACCCCCAGTGGCAGGTGGGGCCTGAGATGGTACCAGGGGGAGGATGCGGGGAGTGAGGGGCGTGAGCATCTGGAGTGTCGGCTGGGGTGAGAATTGTTGGATTGACACGCAGATCTGCTGCTTCCTCACCGGGTGACCCTGGGCAAGATGCTTCAATTATCGGAGCCTCTGCTTGTAAAATGGGGGAAAACAAGTACATGCCGTTGACGTGAGGGTTCCACATAAGAAAGAAACACCCAGTGGAGGGCCCTGTCCCAGCAGGCACCCAATAAGTGGTGATAATTACACCTAAACAGATTAGAAACCGAGTTTTGCCACCTCTTTTCGATGTCTTTGTGTAAGTTACTCTCTGAGTCTCAATTTAATATGAGGACTAGAACAATACTTACTAATATGCGCGGTGTCCCCCAAAAGATATGTTGAAGTTGTGACTTCAGGTACCTTCGATGTGCGACCCGATTTGGAACTAGAGTGTGTGAGGACGAGCTAAGTTAAGATGAGGTGGTGTCGGACTAGGGTGGACCCTGATCCAATGACCGGAGTTCTTAGAAGAAGAAGGGAATGTGGACAGAGGTAGAGTCGGACGTCACAGGGAGACCGCACGGAGGCGGAGACACAGATGGGGCGACGTGTCCGCAAGCCGAGGGACATCAGGGGCGGCCGGCAGCCGGCAGAAGCGAGCGGAGAGGCCGGGGGCAGGCTCTCCCTCGGAGCCTCCAGAAGGAGCCAGACCTGCTGCTGCCTGGAGTCCAGACTCCTCACCTCTGCAGCTGGGAAAGAATAAATTCCCCTTGTTTTCATCCACTCTGTGTGCGGTGATTTCTTCCTAAGAAACAAACGCACCTGCCCTTTGGGGTTCTTAGGTTAAACAATGATTAAGCCACTTGGGTAAAAGAGCTAGTCCGGTGCCTGGCTCGTGAGAAGTGCATTGAGTATCAGACCTCTTACATTTGGGCAGCAAGACACAGAAAACGGACTTTGAGAGAGAAACAACGTAAAAGCCTGTACCATGTCCACAGGGTGAGGCAATAGCCAGGTCACAGCTCTTCATATGGATGGTAATACAATCATTAAATAATAACACAACAATAAACTGTGTTTCATGTACTCGCAACCATAAACCTACTTTACCTACCCCTCTAGGTTTGTGGGTGTCAGTATAGAGATCCCTGAAACTCAGCCTTAGCAAGTGAACACTCCTGCTTCTTCTACCTCCGCTCTTCAGCGTGGGAGAGAGCCACTTACCCTCGGTGATGGGACACGGCAGTGAATTTGGAAGGTGGGGTTTTGAATCTTGTGGAGGGGGGAGGCTGAGAGAGACAGAATTTGTTTTGGCTGCACCGGGTTCTGAGAGCTGTGTGCAGAGGAACAAGGGGTAGAAACAGATGTCAGAGTTTAACGAGAAGAGACAGCAGGAACGACAGAAGGAGAGTGAGCTGGGGACCAAGTGCAACTCGGTGAGAAAGTGATGGAAGCTGGAGGGAGGAGGCGGGCGTGGGAAAGGCCCGCCCCCGACAGTGGCAGAGCCCGTGCAGGAGACCAAACGCAGGCTCTCGCACCACGCAGCTCCACATTTAAAAACTGAACGTGCTCCGTCCTCCCACCTCCTCAGGACCCCGGGAGGCGGGCAGGTTTGGATTTCAAACTCTCAGAGCCCTGAGCGCTCTGCTCTGGAACACGGTGGCTCAGGGACATCTGGAGAAGGGCCGAGGTGGCCCGTCTATGCCCACTGCTGGCTCCGTCCCACAAGCTGCTGCCCTTGCTGCCTGTGGTGTTGGTGGGGCAGCGCAGCTCACTTGTAGGACAGTGGGCCGAGGGGACGGTTTTGAGCAGCCCCTGTAAGTGGCCTGGGGTCACCGGGGAGGGAATTCTGGAACACTCAGGGCACTGTCTAAAATAGGGGGTGGGGACTGGGGATGGGCACATCCCCTTGGCTTCTGTCCCATCACCTGGGAGGAGGGACCAAGGCAGGGGAAGGCCACAGCAGGGCCTGAGTTCTGGGACCACAGGGGACCCTGACTCCGAGCAGTGGGCAGGGGCAGGGGCAGAGCTGGGGCTATACTGGCTGTGGGATGAAGGCGAGGCGGAGGCCAGAGAAGGTGCGGAGGAGAGTGGAGAACTTGCCTGGGCTCTCTGATCGGTCTGTTAGGTTCTCAGCTCCCCTCCCACAGGAGAGCTGCCCTTCCACCTGTGAGGAAGTGGGCGGGGGCTCGTTTTCTCGGTTTGACACTATTTTCCAGTTGTGTGTGCCATCTGCCTCCTGTGACATCACTCATGGAAGCATCACTTCAGATTTCAGGGCAGGAAAGGGAACTGCAAGCCAGCAGGGGAACTTTCTTCAAAGAAAGAGGCCCTACAGTGCTCGTTTTCTGGAAGCGGCTTCCAAGCGCAGACGAATGAGACAGTGCAATGCCCTCCCTCGTTTGGAGGTGACCACAGATGGCCCATGACCGACAGCCCGCCTGTGGGTGGTGTGGCTGGTGTTAACAAATCATGTGTGACCTGGTGTCCGGGACGGAAGTCCCAGACTCCTCCTGGGTGTGTCTACAGTGTCCCTGCAGCAAGATGACGAACTTTCCTGGGCACCTGGGATCACCAGGACCATCTTCCTGGAGCCTGGGCCCAGGTGTCTACCGGCGTCTACCTGCGGGGCTCTCCTGCCACTGCCCCAGGTCGAGGAAGGAAGCATCCCCTTCTGCTTCTTCCTGACACTGTTCTGCCCTTGGGACTATCTACTTGAAACACATTTCAACCTTAAAAGCACACTAACATGGCCATTTGATAGGCTGTTCTCCTGTCCTCCCCACCATCAGCCCCACGAGAGGTGATGGAGAGCACATCGCCTTACCCCTGACCATGGAGGCTCTGGGTCTCCGCCCCTCCAGCCATAGCCGATGGGTAAGGGCTTACTGGGAGCTGGCGGAAAAACTTTATTACATCAAAGCGAGAGCACAGTTAATGTTTTTGTAAGTGTTGCCACATTGCCCTCCGGAAATGAGGAATCGAGTATGTTTGACAGCTTGAGAACTTCCATTCTCAGCTGTGTCCCAAATACCATTCTTTTTTCTCATTTTATTTTCTGTACGGTTATACTGAGGTATGATCGATGTGCAATAATAAACCACACAAATCTACCACTGTTCTTTTCATCGTTGTTCCATGTACGGAACACGAGGCCTCCCTGATTTAATTCCTCGCTTTAATTGCCAGTGGGGATGGAGCATCGTAGCCTGCGGCCTTAGAACATTATTTCCTGTGTTGTTGTCTGTTTCATCGCCCCTTCTCCACATAATTGTTAGTCTTTCTCTTAAAGATTGAAGGCAGCTCCTTGTGCAGAAACTCGTGTTTGGACAAGGCGTTAAACCAGAGTTAAAACGAGAGTGTCAGTGTCCTCCCCAAGTGCTTGGCCGACTTCAGAGCCAAGGGCGGCCCTGTCTGGCACTGTGGTGCGCTCCGCACGAGTGGGCAAGGGCCGAAAAGGAAAGAGGACGCCATCTGGGGAGGCAGCTCTGGATCCCCGTACTCGACACACACCCAGACACACACACGTTTGTTTGTTGATTGGCTGACTGATCGTAGGGAGTTGGCTTGCCTGATTGTGGGGCTGGCGAGGCAAATCTGAAACCTGGAGGGCGGGCCACGAGGCAGAGCTGGTGTTGCAGGCCACCGATGTAATTCCTTCGTCCTCCAGAAAACCCCAGTTTTGCTCTTACGGCCTTTCCCGGACGGGATTCGACTCACTGAGGTGATCAAAGGTCGTTTAGAGGGCACCTAAGGGGAAATTTTACTCAAGTGGCGTTTTACAGTTTGCAGACGTTTTCCCGCACCAGGTCTCGATGATGGCTCATCGCAGCTGCTTGTAGGCAAGGCCCCATTAATTCCGTTCTAAACAGGAGGCTCAGAGACTTCATGTGACACACGTGTGTGGAGCGAGTGCGTCACAGACATGGCAAGTCACAAAACCCCAGTTATACTGCTGAGGATTCAAAGCTCGGATGTCTGCTTTTTGCATGCATAGGTTCTGGAAAGAGGCATCCTGGAGCGGAGAATAAAGCGAATGCAATCAGAGAGTCCGGGTGCAGATCTCTCCTCCACCTCTGGAGTAACCAGACAGCCAACGCACACTTCCCCCGAGGCTTGCTCAGCGAGCTCCAGGCAGGGAAAAGTG